CCCCAAAACCCCAAAACCCCAAAACCCCAAAACCCCAGGCCTTTTAGATAAATTTGAATAAAATTTACCCAAAATAGGTATTTACTTGATTAGTAAAGGTTCTTCCCTAGATTTTGCATTACATTTCTCAGCCTAGTCTTTCCATACATCTGAAATGTCCCATCCTGATCCAGAGGCTCAAACTTCACCCCTGCTCCTTTGAGCAAGTCAATCTGTGTCTTGTGATGAGATGCCGAAAGAAGGTCCTTAGTAGTGATCTTTTTCTTAGGAATCAACACAGGCTTATTCTCAGGTAGCCCTAAAGTAATAAACTCATAAACTACCATATTTCTGGGAGATCAGATCAATCTTCTCAAAAGTGTCCTTTGACCTGAACATTTTTGAACTATTTTGAAAGAAATGCTTGGTTTTACTAAAGAATGAAACAAAAACTACTTTGTCCAAAGATCATTACCCCAGTTATAGCTCGGCTCAGGGCTTCGTCAGCCAAGCTGCCGGTGGTGATGGACCTGCTGCTGCTTCAGATCCTGACTCTTACTTATCTTATTAGGCTCTTGTAGCTTATTCACTAAAATTTACACACGATTCTACCTTTTGAGCGACTCATTTTGTAATTCTCAACAAGCCTTTTCCTATCTTTATTATTTTTCTTAAAATCCATCTGATGTAAATCCATGATGTTAGATTCTTGTGTTACGCTAGAGTCTGGCACAGAGATTTCGTTATCATCTCCTGACAAAGAAGTTTTATCATCAATCTTGGTAAGCTTGTTGAAGGATGATCTGACCTTTCTTCTAAGATTTCCTCTCAAAGGATGTCTCATAGAGTTCCTCTCAGGCTTGAATTTACTACATTTAGGAAGGATTCTTGATCTATTAACTCTATTAAATATCCTCCATCAGATTTTCAAGGTTAGAAACTCCTATAAAATCTCATTCTGGGCATACTTGTGATTAAGGATTTATTTTCGATTCTAGATGACTTATTTACAACAAATTACTCAATCTCGGATTCTGAATCTATCCCAATAATGTCCTTATATTTCTCAATTTGGGAACTGACTTCGCCAATGTTGTATCTAAGCCTTGAAATTTCGTCGTTCTGGGAGCTAAAATTTTGGTCTAATTTCCCTGAAACATGTTGTAAGCTCTATCTCGCATATTAACAAAGGGAATACTTTCAAATGGTTATCCACAGATTCTTGAGACTTCTTCAGCCCATGTTTGTGAGCGTTATGATTGACCGAGATCTGATCTAATTCTTGCCTTAAAACTCCGAATTTAGTTCTCTCTGACTTGCATTTGACATGTTAAAGCCTAATTCTCAGTCCAAAAATACCTCAATCTTGGTTAGGAGGGACTCGAATTGGGAGACTGTTTGTGACCTGAAAGGCTTAGTTTCCTTATCAATAACATGGGAGATCTTTGAATCAATATCGGACATAATTTTTCAAATGCGATTTCTGACATCATCAACCTATGATTGACAAATAAGCCTCACATTCGAGTCAATTTGCTCCAAATATTGGTTAGATTTCTCGACAAAATCAGTATAACTGGTGAACTTTTGCCTGTGCCCAATCAGCCCCTTGACTTGTAAACACTGAGTAGCGACTAAAGCTCAAGTATAAGTTACTCTTTGAAGGCATTGAAGCTTCTAGTTGCTTGAACTTGTAGTCAATCACCACAGTTTGCTTGCCTATCTTATCCTGAAGCTCCTCTACAGACTTTCTCAGAGGAGCTTACCTTTGGCTGCGAAAATTTTTGAGTCAATAAGAGAAGGGATCGCTGAGACATCTCCGAAATTTTTGATAGTTTGTAGCTACAAAGTTTGCATTGCAGGTTACGATAGAATTTCTGTTGTTTTCTAAGGAATCTAACCTCTCGTCTCTCTCTTCAAGCATCTTTATTCAACGACCTGCTATTTAGACTCTCAAAGTTACTTTGATGGTTTGTATTTTAGAGAGATTTAAGTCCCTAGAAGATAAAATTAGAGCCTACTTTCTCAACTCTTGGGACTCCTGGATGAACATATTCGCAGTGTTGTCTAGCTTGTGTTGGAGCTAAGATGAAAAATATAGCTTACCTTTGGAATAACCCTTACTTCTTTTTCACATCTATTTAATATTATGTGTGATGGTAGCAAATCTCTGAAGAGAATCGACCTCCATTTGCAAGACCTAAGTATTAAAGAGGAAAAAGTACTTTTTCTTTGATGGCTAAAATCGCTGCTTTCAAACATTTTGGGATGTTCTTCCAGTCTTCTAGAAAAGAAGTTATATGGATTTGATTCAGGAGCGTATTCCATCATGTCATACCTACATTAATCTGACTAATATGCAGTTCTTCCATTAAATTTCTATATTTTTTAAATTAAAAGGGGTTTTGGGGTTTTGGGGTTTTGGGGTTTTGGGG